AGAGAGAGAGAGAGAGAGAGAGAGATTGAGAGTACAACTAGATGAGAATTACAAGGGGGAAAAAGCTTTCAAGTATTAACTCCCCAGGTGTAACAGCAGATTTTCATAGAAGGCTGTGTAAGGTATAATTTGCAATAGTTATCTTTATTTCTGCTACTGGATTGTTGGAATTTATTTTGGTTTTGTTTCTTCAAAGACTAATTGTTTTCATATTGTTGATAAATCAACAAAGAGGACAATTAAGAAAGGTCCATTTAGGCTGGGCACTGTTTTAGTCCATCAATAGTGAACGGTTCTGAGGGATGGTGAATTCCCAAGGAAAACAACTCCAGGGTACATGTCAGCCTGCAATAGATTTCTATTGGTTCTGGAACTGTTATTAGTAGCATGAAGCTTAAATAGTTAAATATTTTATTTCCGTGTAAAATTAAGTAGTTCTGTAATTACATAATCTACTTCATCATTTGTGAGCTTTACCTGCCTATTGAAATGTGTACTTGAGAGTTGCAGGACATTAACTATTTTTATGCATTTCTTTTTACAGTAGAACAGTTGAATGTGATGTTTATACATTATATACAAGAACATTTGATATCTGAAAAAGTCTTTAGCAAATTAGCATGCATTTTATAGCACTTAGCTAATACGGATACAAAATGGTCACTATAAATCTTATCGTTTTTGTTTTCTGTATTCCTGGAAACACAAACACTAAGTCAAGAATTCCCCATTTGACCAGACCTGTTGTTTATTTTAGGAAATAGAAGTGGCCATCAACGTAATTTTAAGTCGTTCAATTGTGAATATGGGATGAAGCGGTAACATAAAGTTTTCCACTGTGATGTCTCCATTAAGAAGCTCCTCTTTGTGTAAAAGAGTCCATGACAAAGTTCCTTCTATTTAAAGTAGTGAGTTTGATCTTGGCTTTGATCTAAAGCTTTTGATCTTGAAAGAAGGATGGAGCAGCAATAAAGGGAGGGCAAGGCAGATTTTCTTTAAAGAAATGCGATAAAGTTAAAGTGCTGGTCAGGCTCAGCGAACGCGTGCCCCAGCCTGGCTCAGCCCATTTCGGATGCGGATATGAAGAAAGCCTTTCTGGGGTCGGCGGGAAAAACTTGGGACATCACACATTTTTATGAACGAAATGCAAACCTTTCCTCTAATTATGGAGACAGACTGTCCACCTTTTAAATTCTCCCGAGTTTCTTAGAAGGCTCATGGGCAGTGCGCCTGCCGTGCGGGCTACCTGCTCAGGGCGCACTGGCTGCCGCGACGCGGGGAGAGCACGGGCTGCTCTTCTGCTACCAGAGAGATCACCTGCGCCGCCCCGAGTCCCGAGGAGCCCCTGGAAAACGCCTACTTAATGGCGGATAAATGCATTCCCGGAGGAAAAAAAACTCCCTTTGCAAAGTTCCTTTCCCCGGCGAAGGCCATCTGGACACAGGTTTCTGACCAGAGGAGCGAGTTCAGACTGGCCGCAGGGGTACTGGCGCTTCTGCACGCGCGCGGGCAGCACCTCTGCTCCCAAGGCGGCCGACAAACCCTTTTTTGGGGAGCGCAGTGCCCGCGCGGTGGGGACCGGAGCGGTAGGGCGTGGGCACCCG